CCGCGTGGGTGGAGCCGAGACGCGGGTTCGTGGCTGCCCGAGTGAGGGGCTTGAGGCTCGTGGGTTTTTTTCTTCCGGGGTCAGTAGGATAATCAGGTTTAAAACACTAGGTGAGCTTGTGTTTGAGCGTGGTGCTGCGTCGTAGAGGGCAAGCGAAACAAAGAGGGGATGTACAACCAAGTGGATCTAAAAAGTATTGAGTAGGACTGCAGCAGCCTGGAGAAGTTTCCGTTGCCTCTTTCTGCCCTTCTCCCTCGGGCAGTGGAGGGCTTTTGCTAGAGTGTTCTTCAAAAGCCCCAGAGCTAATTTCATAGCAGTCACTAATTGCTTTCAAATCCTTTGCTCATTTTTCAATACTGTTGTTTTGGGTTTTTTTTTTAATGTTTGCTTGCTCTCCAAAACAAAACAAACCTCTTCAAGCACAACGGTAATCACAAGAGACGAAATAACCTGTTAGGTTTGTGCTCTGGCTTGTACTGTCCGATTTCTCTCTAGCTTACCTGGCCTTTATTCCAAGACCTTTGCTTCTGGAGTCATAACAAAGGATCGGTGTGTTTGATCTGTTAAGTAGATGTAGTGCTGGTAGTGAAAGTAGTCAAGACATCTCCCTTTTCTCAACTCTCATAATTCTGACAGGCAAGTGATGCTTTTAGCAACCAGGTTTACTGATTTCTTTGCTTTTCTGTGGAAGCCAAGCAAGGCTTCCAGGATGTGGTCCTGTTACCTCTCCTTTTCTGTTTATCTGTTTAATGAAAATGGAGAACATACGTTTACTGTGTCTCTAATGCAGAGTGGCTTCTCTTGAAAAAGAGGACAGTGAAGTCAAACTGACAATGTATTTGCTGCTTGAAACTGATCCTAGTGACTTTCTAATCTAAACACATGATGGATTCATAAGGTGTTAACTCATATTTTGCTATAAAGCAAATGGGTTATTTCAAGCCACTGTTTCATACTTCCACTACTTTTTTGGAGTTGGTCAAGAATTGATGTTACTGAGTTTGTACCAGAAGAGAATTCCACACTCTCCTTACTCGGTGTCACACACTGAGGTAATATATTAACATTATATAAATTAATGTATTGGTGGTATCTGTAATAAAGATACTTTAATGCTTTTCTTTTTGGATATATGAAGCTGTTTAAATTTTGCTAAAGTTGACTGCTCTAGCTATCTTTTTTTTTTTTTCAATACATGGCCTTGCTTCTAGCTTGGAACTTCATTGAAAAACTTCTTCAGAAAAAGCTCATATCAAGAGTAAGGTCAGCGGAAGAAAAAGTTACTTAGTTTAAATTGAAGGAAAAATCTTGCCATTTTTGTCCTGTATTGTAGATGGGAGCAGGAGGTGTCATGGAGAGTTGAGATATTCTAATACTTCTGTGGTTTGTAGCATAAATTTCAAATTGAGTAGAAGGCCCTACCTACAACCAGAATGTATGTCTTGCTGCCTCTGCAAATTTTGCAAAGGACCGACTGCAAAATAGAAACTATTCACTGTGCCTAATGGTCAGGGGATAAAAGGAGAAGAGATATTGAAGAGAGTCTTACTCAGTAAGGTCAACCACTCATTGTTTTTAATGAGGCAGAAATCCTGGGGGGAGGGGAACATTGGCCCATTTTGTTAGTGTGAACAGTCATAAAGTAGATTGCCAAGACATGCAAATAACCATTTTTAGTAATAGTTAATTGCTTGGATAAATGTCATATTTGTTACCTGAATGTTCTTTTAAAACAGTCCAGGCTATCTTCTAAAATACCTGTATTCATAATGAGCAAGCAGATAAGAAGCCATCTGCATCAGGCCGTTAGGTTTACCCACCCTAGTATGACTCAAGGTCTCTTGTGGTGGTTTTGGTGTAGACAATTGGGCTTGAGCACACAATTCTGTGTGTTTTCAAGCCCCCCAGGATGTCTGGGGATTTGTGCAGTGGTATCACTGTGCCTGCTTTTCATGCGCCTCCTCTTCCATTAATGCTGCTTGAAGGTCCAGAAGTGCCTTCAAAGTGACATAGGTGCGTACAGGATTTGATTTTGATCTGCCTAGGAATCACATTATTTGTGTGGGGGGAAATTAAGAAATTGCTCAAAATTACCAGCTGATCAAACCTTCTCAGATAAGCTGTAGTCTTTCTAGACATTATTGTTGATTAAGGAACTGAAACTGCGGTAATTCAAGTGAAATGCTTTTTTGGTAATGAGTTTGTCGCAGTCCCCCACCCCCTCCCAGGCATGTTGCAGTCAGTGGCTCAGGGACTCCATGAAGGGCAGTGACACCCCCAGCCACCGTGTGACATTTCAATGCTGGCTTCTGCCACTGTTGCATGGATTCCTTTGTGTGGATCCTGAGTCAACAGAAGTACAAACGTCATCTCTGAAATGAAACTTCGAAAGGTGTGTAAATCAGAAGCACTATACCCTGGAGAGTAATGAATGTGACTTACTATTTTGCTAGAGAAACTGAATAGTCATTCACTTGTGAGAAGTGTGCTTTCATGTCAGGCTTGGGGTAACTGAGGGTCTTTTGCTTCCCAGGGGAGAGGCTTGCACTCCTGACATGTCTTTCTCTATTTGGACTATTTTATGTTATTCTGCTCTGCATCCTATCACCGCCCTTCATTTAACTATTCTCGGGCTGCTTCTGAGTAAGAAGTATCGCTAGAGAAAAAGTTGGGTTCAAAGCATTGGTGTGTTAATGCTTGTGTGAATCACAGAACAGAAAAGCCTCCTTAGCTACAGGTGGAAGTGTGTAAACACTCGGAGAAATTGCTTAGTTTCTCGCTCTTCACATCTTCAGTAACTTCAGTTTCTGTTTCTGTATAGATAAATCCTTTGGCTCCTAAGAATGTCATATTGGAGGTTTTAAAAATATTGTGAATCCTGTAATGTGACAGAGGCATAGATAGTAACTTGGAGAAGAAGTTGACAGATACAGGTCTTATCTCAAATCCATGTGTAGTTCAGTGGTAAAGTGCTTGGATTTTAGCTTGTGCAACACTGTATGAGTATGATTGCTACAGCACACATACAGTCTGTTTTCCCAAGTGGTTATTGGCTGTCCCTTCCAGTTGTTTACTTCTCCCTCTCAGCATTTCCTCCTTTTTAGTTTTACTACTTTACTGATAGAATGCAAGAGGAAAATCTTGGGATTAATGAGAGCTTCTGTTGAAGTTGAAAGGATTCTCCTGAACTTGGATTTTAACTGCAACACAGTAGAATCTAAAGTAATAGGTTCTGGTACTTCTGTGACTCAAGCATGTTTCTTGCACAAAGACAGGGTGGAGGAGAAATGAATAATTCTTTCTAAGACCCCTAACACAGATATTAATATTAAGCCTTAAGAGATTTGAGAGTGTGCATTGCAGTAAGCTGTAATAGAAGCTGCAGTAAGGCATAGATACAGGGGGAAGTCTTTTTTCTTTTGTGTTGTCCCTCTAAGCACGCTTACTTTCAAACAAGGTTTATAGTTAGGTAACAAGAGAGAATAAGACATTGTCATTAATATTTTCTAAGTTTGTTTACTCTGCTGCTTTAGAAGGGGAGAAAAAGCTTCGTGAAAGGATCCATGTCTGATCAGAATATTTAATCCTTCAGATAGCTGCCCCTTCTTGGATAATGACTTATTTAGTAGCCATGCATATCTAGCAGGAGGCTTGAATTAGTGGTTGCTGGTTCATGTTTCTGCTCTATAGTTTTGGCCTTACCCTTTTTAAAGCTGATTTCTGTGAAGCTGATTATGTGCAGGCTAGAGTTAATCTGTAACACTATCCATTTCAGTGACACCTCTTCCAAGGCAAAGTGTTGGTTGTTGCTAGGAGCAATCCCTCATTCCCTCACTTCTAGAAATCAGTTAATGCATGTGTTTTGGTTGCATTCTGCCTGGCGAGGTGAATGCATTTCGCTGAGGTAGTTAGATGTAGTTCTTGGAGGTTAGGGGTGAAGGAAGGGTGCCTGCCACACTATTAATAAGCTCTTGGAATAGAGGACCTTAGTTGTGCAAAAATGGTTATAATAAGGAAGAATAATATAATATTCAAGAATAGGGAAATCTGGTGTTCACAGTCAGGAGGACGTTCTTAGCTAACCCTGTGAAACCTTGTGTCTCGATCCTGCAATACTTGCAGTGAGAGATAGAGTAGTGTATTTTGATATTCTGTTACCTGAAAGAGCATTAAAGTATTCATAGTATCTTTCTATTTCTTCCCCCTCCTTCCCCCCCACTCCCGTCCCCATCCCCCCGTCCCCTTTTAATACTAAAAGGTCCGTCACCCAGTCATCTGTGTCAACAACCATGTCTTCTGTTCCATTTGTATTGAAGTGTGGCTAAAGAACAATAATCAGTGCCCAGCCTGCAGGATTCCCATCACGCCTGAAAATCCTTGCAAGGAAATTATAGGTAAGGACAACTTAAGGCTTTGAAATAACTATCTGGTATTCGCTGCCGGAGGAGATTCTTTTGAGTCCGAAGATGTACAGATGTTTTTTCCTCTGTGTTTTTTTACCAGCATCTAAGGAAGATCTGACTTTAAATCTTTCCAGAAGCATACATAATAGCTACAAGGTAAAAATTCCAAAGGTGATGTGTCTATTAATGGCTAGATTATCCAAAGGCAGCAAGTACCCTGCAGCTTTAATGATTGTTTTTTAAATCTTGGTTGGACAATGCCTTTAACTGAGAAAAATGCATCTTGCTTCAAGTATTCTACCTATGCATTGCATCTTGTTAACCTAAAAGAAAAATATATCTGAACAATCTCACTTTAAAAACCTCAGACTTTCTTGTACTAATTAAATGTACGTTTGATTCTGTGGCATCCTTAGCTCAGTTTTAATAGTATGGTCTTAAATATGATAGGATTCTGTCACAGAAAATACAAAGTTGAAAAACTGAAAAGTTGTCTTCCTGCTGCGAGGCAGGATTTTTGCTGCTAAATATCACTAATAGGTACTCATTTAACCTTCTCTGAAAATTGAAGGACTTACATGGTAGTAGATTGGTCCAATATTAGCTGTATTTGTAATTGATAATATGAAAAGCGTTGTAAGGTGGATTACTGTATTGAATTGACTAAAAAAGAAACAATTTTAGTGTTTCCTTCATTCTGTGCTGCTTTAGGAGGAACGGGTGAAAGTGATCCTATATTTAGTCCAACAGTCAGAAAGCACCTACGTAAAACAAGGCTTGAATTGCTCCACAAAGAATATGAGGTAAGGACATGGAGAGGGTTGGGACTTTCAGATTAACTGCAACTGTTAAATTACTGCATAGAATTGGGTCTTTTTGCTTTGAGTCCCATTCTTTTTAAACTGAGTAAAGGTTTATATCTGATCTACATGAAACTTGGCTGCATTAAAATCTCAACCTCTGGCTAAGTTTATGAGAGCATTTGCTGCTTCTTAAAGGAGTCCCACTGAAGGCATGTTGATATTCTTTCTATGCTACAGGTAGCCAAGTACAGCTAGTTCTATAATTTTATGGGAATTTCACCTTCATGTGGTCTGGGAGGATTTTCTTTATACATAGTGGGTGTTGGAGGCTTTTTGTTTTGGCTTTGGTTGAAATTCAAATGTTTTCTGAAGTAATTTGCTGTTTCTTGGGGAGGCTAAATTCCTTCTTAAACAATATTGCCCACTGTAACCTTCTGGCATAGGTTAACTTTTATCATTGTCACCTTATAATTTTCTGAAAGTGAATGAATGCTTGAAAGTTCATCTCTGCTTTCCTGCTGGAAAAATGTTGTCTCGGGAACAGGGTGAAAAGGTGTTAATAAGGAATATGCTTAATTTGTTTTCTCAGCTGTTGTTTCCTTAATAGCAGCTATGTGAAGACATCATATATTTTGCAAGGAAAACTGTCTCAGGTAGGAGAGTAAGAGAAAGGAAATGGGTGCTAAATAAAGACTGTCTTCTATGACAAACTTGCATATAGGTTAGCCTCTTTCATTCTGGATGGAAGCTGGTGTCAGGAAAAGGAGGTTTCCTGCCTTTCTATTGAATCAACTTCAAAATCACACAGATAGGCATGAATAGCATAAATGTCTTCAAAAAACTAAAGTTGTTCTCATGCTAGAGAAAAAAAAAAAGGCTTGATTATTAGTGCAAATATGCCTTGGATTTTTGTGAGTGGCATGTATGGCCTCCTTTGCTTCTCTATGACTTCAGACTGATACAGCTAAGAGCTTTGTTCTTTGCATCTTGAGCACCTTTCCCAAGATGTTACTACTTCTGCATAGCTGGAGCAGCCTCTTCCAAGCAATGTTCTGTCCATTTTAAATCTTGAGACTTTCAGCATCTGAACATGTGATGTTTCAGAACATAAGCAAAACATTCTCAAATAACAGCAAATGAATCAGCAGAGGAGGACCTTAAGAACACTCTTGATACAGGAAATCCTCCCATAGAGTGCACTAATAATAGATTAATGATGCTGAATGCTTTGAAGCTTTTGGTCTGCCTGCCAGTTTGTTCAGGATCCTTTATGTAGTCAAGGGATTCCATACACTAACACCTTCACTGTGCTTGAGTATGCAGGTTGATTAAAGTCCTGCCTAAAGCACAATACATAAGCATACTTAGATATATGTGTAAGTGAAGGCATGTGTCTGGGCTTGCCAGAACCCATGTTTCTAAAGTGCTGTGGGAGCTTGCCAGTATTATTTAATTCATCTCATGCATTATTTGAATTCCTGTGAATTTCTGACATCTTTAGGATGAAATAGAATCCCTGCAAAAAGAAGTGGAAGATCTGAGAGGTAAAAATCTCAGTTTACAAACACAGCTGAAATCTCTTCTGGATCCTAGAACATCAGCATTGTCTTGCCAAAATGAACAAACCAGCCAGTCAGCAAATGAAGCGATTTCCAGTGGCACAGAAACCCAAGAGGACTGGAGTAAAAAGCTGAAAGCTGTCAATGATATGTATGAAAAAGAGATGGATAATGTGGAAAAGCTAAAGGAGGTAATAAATACATTTCCTCAGTTATCTTGTAGTGTAACTGTTTCAGGTTAGTCGAACCGGAGCTGGAGCTGGCATGACCTCTGGGTACTTCATAGATCCAGAAGAAAAGGAAGAAATTGAATTCCAGTGGCTGTTGGTGTGTCATAGCTTTTCCATATAGCCTTTGCAAGTGTCAGATGTTATTGCTTGTTCTAGTGGGTCTTATATGTGACTCTTCTTCAACTCCTCTGTCACTCTCTGACTGGGTAATTGGATTATAGTAGCACTTGTCACCAGTATTGATGACCAGATTTTTCAGGCTTGCAATAATCTATATAATATATCTATTTTACAACATTCAGTGGCCAAACACAGTTCAGTTGGCTGAGGCAGATTTTGCACTATTGCCCTCCATGCTAGCCGATATTTTTGGTGCAATTTGCTGAGACAGAGTAACTTGACCCTTTGACCGAAAATAGACAAGCTTCAGCATTTTATGACCAGAATATCCTTTACTGGAAACCTGCGGCTTTTTTGTACATCTTGAATGTAATGTAGAATAAAACCTGATACTGCAAAAGGGAGGGATGCAGGAGATGGTCATATGAAAATACATGTGCATAAAAATACCTTGCAAAAATTACCTGAGGGTACACAAAGGATCACCTCGAACATTTCTAGATTATTTTGAAAGACAAGGTGGAGGGAAATTAATTCGCATTTATTCAAAATACTGCCTTTTTTTTTCCTGAGTTTTTTCCTGAGTTTTTCTTTCCTGAGTTGACTCGTGCAAAACTAAAACGTTATCTGATTAGGACTTTTTTTTTTTCCCTTTGTAAGCATTAGTAGTGTTTACATTTTTCCTGTGCTAGAGAATCACATTGTACTGTTCTGCCATTCTGTTGTTAATGGGACACTTCTAGATTTACCTCTTTGTAGTCTAAAGTAAATCCTGGCCCTGATTAGACTATGTGATAATCACTAAAAAGAATAAACTTGAGTTTCCAAAATTAGCTTGCTCAATAGCTTAGCTAGACTCAGACTTCGACTTTACAGGCTGGGACACACCTTCTGCCCTCCTAAGTGGATCCCAGAAGAGCTTCAGAGTTGGCAAAAAGGGATTTGCAGCAAGTAGTTTGCATAATTTTTTTTGCACTTTTTTTGCCCCATAAAGTTAAACTTTGTTTTTTGTTTGTTTGATTATTTTTTTTTTGTAGTGACTG